TTTTTGTTTGTTTTAATGTTTTTTAAAACGTTAATTTATTAAAATCAAAAAAAAAAATTAAACCATCAATATTATTAAAATTATCAAATGTTAGCCACAAACAAAATTTTATTTGTTTAAAACTTTCATACACAATGATAGGGTTTGTTTGGGAATTAGGTTGCCTTTTGACTTTTTGACTATTTTAACATGAGGTTAAAAAGTCTCGTTTGGATTCAGTTTTTTTTTTGACTTTTTTTATTTTTGTAAGAGAAAAAATAAAATGATTAGAATTTAGATGTGATATTTTATTTTATTGACTTTTTTTTTTCTTTCTCTATTTTATTTTTTTATAACTATTTTAATCGCATAGCTAACCCAACCCAACCCAACCCAAACCAACCCACCCCACTTGCCAAACGAGTGTCATATTTTGTAGTTCATTCATTTTAAAAACATATCTTTCATCATAGTTTTATAAAACCCCATAATCATTTCACTTTTTCTCTCACAAACATCACATCCAACCACATAAAAACCCAACTATCTTCCCAAACACCAAAAAAATTTTATCTCATAAAAACCTACATCTACTAAAATCTACATAAAAACTCACTTCCCAAACACCATCAATGATAGGGTTTGTTTGGGAATTAGGTTGCCTTTTGACTTTTTGACTATTTTAACATTAGGTTAAAAAGTCTCGTTTGGATTGAGTTTTTTTTTTTGACTTTTTTTATTTTTGTAAAAAAAAAATAAAATGATTAGAATTTAGATGTGACATTTTATTTTATTAACTTTTTTTTTTCTTTCTCCATTTTATTTTTTTATAACTATTTTAATCGCATAGCTAACCCAACCCAACCCAACCCAACCCAAACCAACCCACCCCACTTGCCAAACGAGTGTCATATTTTGTAGTTCATTCATTTTAAAAACACTATCTTTCATCATAGTTTTATAAAAATATCATGATGATATATTTATAAATTTTATGCAAAATTATGCTTGTGATTAAGATGGGTGATTCAACCATTTTTTGGGGCTTAAGTTATTTAACATTTAAATATTAATTAAAAATAATTATTTCTTAAATTTCACAAATTGTAAATTTTCTGAATCACGCTTATTTCTTAGGTTTGAACAATTTTTTATACAAATATATATTTTTATTTAGTTTTTAAATAATAATTTATTAAATGTTGATAATTTAAAAAGATTATTTTAATATAAAAAAACGTTTTGTTCTTGATTTTAATAATTTTTTATTTTTAAATTATCTATTAAATTACATGTAATTATTATTTGACTATTTTTGTTTAATTTTAAATTTATAAACAATATATTATAATTAATATTATTATTTTTATTTGTTGTACATGACATAATCAATATTTTCTTTTTAAAACATCATCAATTGCTACTTGTTAGCATAATCTTATTTATTTTGGGTTAGCATAATCTTAACTTATTTTATTTTGGGTATCAAGAAAAACATCCAAAATATTTAGGCTATGTTTGATAACTTATGCTTCTAGCTAAAAAATTAAAAATTAAAAATTAAAAACAAGTTATCAAATTATTTTCTTTAATTTTTTTACAATTCCCAAACAGCCGTTAATGTATAGTCTAAATTAATTTAAATGAGTGTTTGGAAAGTAATTATTTTAATTTATTTTTATTTTTATTTTTTAAGAACAAAAATATAAAAAAAATAAAAAGAATGATATAAAGTTTTTAACTTTTGACAATTTATAAAAAAAAGAAAAAAGAAAAAAAGAAAAAAAAGAAAACCAACACCCCCACAGGGGAGCACGGGGCCTAAGATGTGTGACAGAGGTTGTCGAGAAAGAAGAGAATATGTTTGGTTAACTTTTCCAAACATATTTAGGTTTGGTTTGGGAAGTAGGTTGGCTTTTTGGCTTTTTGGCTCTTTTAGCTATTTTAGCTTGGGCTAAAAAGCTTAGTTTGGGAAGGACTTTTTGGCTTTTTGGCTTTTTTGACTTTTTTTGTGAGAGAAGAATGTAATGATTATAAGTTGGATGTAATGTTTTGTTTGTTATGGCTAAAATAGCTTATTTTATTTTTTGTGGCTAAAATAGCCAAAAAAGCCTGAAAATCAACTTGCCAAACAGAGGCTCACACATTGTTTTGAGTATCTTATTTGTTTGAAATTTTTAAAAATTAATTTCACATCTATTTATGAAAATTCTTTTCAAGGTGAAAAGTTTTGAGTTAACTGGTCGTTCTTCCGGACATTCGGTAGGTCCTTCTCCCGAACATTTAGTCGGTTAACCGAAACAATACTATTTTTTTCATTATTCTTTTTTACAATTGGTACCTATTATGTTTTATATTTTAAATAAAAAAAATTTCCAAAATTTTTAAATTTTTTTATGAGTTTTGAATACAATTTTTAAAACAGTTGTCAATTTCTTCAAATGTACATAGAAAAAAAAAAGTAACAAAATTTAAATAGAAGAATCAAATTAAAAGCAAACTTTTTTTTTAGTTAAAAAGTCAAAAAATTATTAAAAAAATCAAAAAGTCAACAACTTATACCAAAAAGTCAAACATTCCATTTTCTCTCTACTTTTTGCACCTCTTTTCATAAAAAGTCAAAAGGTCATCTCAAACATACTAGTTTTTTTTACATCACATTTTAGCCAAAAAGTTCAAAAGTTACTAAAAAAACCTGTTCCCAAACAAGGCCTTAGGAGTGTCTTTGGAAGATGGTAAAAAGTTGACTTTTGCCTTTTTATCATGTTTTTTAACTTTTTTAGAAAGTGATTTGGGAAGTTAGTAAAAAGTTACGTATTTTTTTTTTGTATAATATTTATTTGTGGTGTTACATCACATTAAAATGATCAAAATATCCCATCAAACTTATGAAATTTACTATTTGACCTAAGTAATTGTTTGAACCATTATGTAATTTCACGAAAAGTAATTATGTAATTTCACCACTACCATTTTTGTCGCTTCCCAAATCAACGAGAACTTTTATTTACACACACAATATACATTTTTTATACATTCTTTTCACTATACTTTTTACATATCTTTTTTATTAAGTATGTGTATAGAATGAATTTAGTGCGGGTAAATAGAAGCCCCCAAATCAACGTGTTTGCGTTTTCATGTTTGCTAGTTGCGTTTTTGAATGCTGCAAAAGCAGCTTTTTTGCTTTCTTTCCAAAAGGACACTAAAAATATATACTCCTTCCGTCTCAAAATATTAGTCCCTTATTTCATTTTTTATTGTCCCAAAATATTAGTTCCTTTTCAAAAATCAAGTACAAAAATAATATAAATTTCCTATTTTACCCTTCTTTTAAATTAACAAACAACATAAAAAGTACAATTATGCATAGATATTCTCAAAAAATGTACTATCAAAAGGATAATTTTGGGAAATCAACTTTTTTCAAATGTAATAATTGTACTACCAAAAAAAGTTAGATTCCCCAAAAGGAACCATTACTTTGGGACGGAGGGAGTATCAAATTATTTAAATTAAAAAAAATTAAATTATAAAAGTGAAAATTATTATAATTTACCCTAATATCAACGATGCTCCATGGCAGGTCCCTTGAGGCCCGAGCTGCACGTGAGCTTCCACAGGTCCCGTGAGGCCCGAGCTGCACGTGCACTCCCACGAGGACAACTTTTTACCAAGATCGAAGAGTTTTTGTTTTATTAGTAGAGTTGTATTATAATTAAAAGGGTAATTGCCATTTCTTTAGATCAAATTTTCAATCTTAAATTATTATTTTTCATAGAAATAAATAAAATTTTTAATGATGAATTTATGATAATAAGGATTGTTTTGAAAAAATGATTAAAAGGTAATTTTTTTTGACTTTTTTCACTATTTCATATGAAAAGTGATATAACCAAAAATAGATAATCCAAAATAAATTAAAAACTGACTTTTAACTTTTTATGCATATTGTCAAAACAATCCTAAGTCATCTTTTATTTTTCAATTTCCTAATAAAGATAATCAACATGTCTTGCTTATAAATTTTTTTATTACTTTATTAATGTAGAACATAAGTTAAATAATATTACATAATTTTTTTTTTGGATCGGTAAATGTTAGTTGTTAGTTATTAGATTAGCACATATGGAAGAAAATCTTCCCACCCATGGTAAAACACTTAAGTGCTTGTACTCCCTTCATTCATCCCCCTCAGGGGAATTGAATTCATGATCTTTTTGGAACTAAGTCCTAAGAAAGGTATGGTAGCCAATTAGGCTAGGCTTAGTTGGTTTAAATAATATTACATAGTATTTCAGGATTATTAAATAATTACTCTTTTGATGCAAGAAAAAGAGAGAGAAAGACAAAGTAAAAGAGTGGAAAACAAACAAGGTTTAAGTAATCTTTAATTTAAAAAAAATGCTATGCTCACATTTTATCGCGTTTTCTTTAATATTGATTTGGTAACACACACGAGAGGTTTCAAATTATTTATCTTGAAAGTTCATGTCCAGCATATCATCGTGTAAAATATAAGTTGAACAAATATCACTATCACATAATTAAGTCTCAAAACTATGTACAAAATTATTAGTAAGTATAATTTTAAAACTAAATCATATACTTTTTAAAATCATACATGTTTTTTATTTCTTTGCATGGTTTTGTGATTTGATTATATAGATAATAATCAACTTATTCTTTACATGGGTAATTTGCTTTAAAAACTTTACAAAATAAACAATTTGAATTATTAAAATAAACTTATAAAAGGTTCATAGCAAATAAAATTATACAGTTGAATCAATTTTCATGACTAGAGAGAAGCCTTCATCTAACAAAATAGTCCTAGAAAAATAGGTGGTAGCTCGAAAGTCTGTGGCCCGATTTTGGGTCGAATTTTTTTTTCTGGCATTTGAATACAGAGAGAGAGAGAGAAAAGAGAGAGAGAGAAGGAGAAAAGAGGAAGAGGGAAGAGAGAAGAGGAAGAAAAGAAGAGGAAGAGAGAAGGAGGACGACGGCGGAGGACGAGGACGATGGCGGGCTGGTGCTGGTTCTGCCGACGACAGGTTTGTGCTGGTTCGTGCTGGTTCTGCCGACGACGGAGGACGACGGCGGGTGCTGGTTCTGCCGACGACAGGCTCGTGCTGGTTCGTGCTCGTGCAGCAGCTCAGCCTCCGCCGTGCCTCCGCCGCTCCTCCGCCCCTGGTTGATGCCCCCTCCTGTCCAGCTCTCCCTTCCCTTCTTCTTCTTCTTCTCTCTTCTCTTCTTCTTCTTCTTCTTCTTCTTCTTCTTCTTCTTCTAAACCTAACCCACTACACCACTACCACCTCACCTACTCCACTAAACCTAACCCACTACACCACTACCACCTCACCTACTCCACTAAACCTAACCCACTACACCACTACCACCTCACCTACTCCACTAAACCTAACCCACTACACCACTACCACCTCACCTACTCCACTAAACCTAACCCACTACACCACTACCACCTCACCTACTCCACTAAACCTAACCCACTACACCACTACCACCTCACCTACTCCACTAAACCTAACCCACTACACCACTACCACCTCCACTTCACCTACTCCTCACCTACTACACTCACCCTCTCCTATATAATGAGCCACTCACCATTTGTAATATCAATAAACATACATCAATCAATAATATCAATCAATACATAATTCATTCTCTCTGTATCTCTCTCTATCAATTTATTTTACATGGTATCAGAGCGAAGTTAAGAACTTAGTATTTTTCGCTTCACCGGCGGGCGGCAACCTCGCCTTGCCCCCCCGCCGGACCTCAACCTACTCCGCTAGAATTTTCTACACATACCTTAAAATTTCTTCGAGTCCACCACCTGCACGCCCTTCGCGTCGCTGTCCTTGACTCACCCAGTCAACCCAGACACATACACAACACCAACTTGATCTTCTCATCCAAAGCCACCCCAGGTAGCCTTGTTTCTTCAACAAACCCCGACCACCACCACTGACCTGTTCCAGCTCCGGCTGCCGCAGACGTCGCGACCCAACCACCGCGGCCACCGCGTGACCATCATCACCATCCCTGCCAACGCCCAATTACTCCACACCACCATCTCCAAAGACTCCTCCTCCGGCCACCCCATCTCCGCCCACACCTTCCCGTTCCCTTCCAAACAAGTCGGCCTCCCCGACGGCCTCGACAACTTGTTCAACGTCTACGACTTCGACACCGCCACCAAAATCCACACCGGCATGCACCTCCTCCGAGAAAAAATTGAACAATTCATCACCGCCAACCCCCCCGATTGCATCTTCTCCGACATGTTCCACCCTTGGACCGCCGACCTCGCTATCAAACTCCGAATCCCCAGGATCGTATTCCCCGCCACCTGTATCTTCGCTATGTCCCTCAAGGACTCCATGAGAAAACCTGACTCTCCTCACCTCTCTGTTCAGTCTGACGACGAACCCTTTTTGATTCCGGGTCTTCCTCATCCGATCACCATGACGAAATCTGAGCTTCCTGACTACGTTCGGACCCCAAACGGGTATACCCAGTTGATGGAACAGTTCAGAGAAGCCGAGCTGAAAAGCTATGGAGTTTTGGTTAACAATTTCTACGAATTGGAGTCTGATTACTGCGAACACTATAAAAAAATCATGGGTCACAAGGTCTTTCACGTTGGTCCGGCGGCTCTCATTCATCGAAACGCCGCCGAACAGGCCGATCGAGTCCACAAGGCGGTGGTCGGAGAGCACGAGTGCCTGAGTTTTTTAAACTCGAAGAAACCCAATTCAGTCCTCTATGTCTGCTTCGGAAGCGCGTGCATTTTCCCCAGTGATCAGCTCATGGAATTAGCTTCCGGAATCGAAGCCTCGGGGCATCAGTTCATCTGGGTGGTGTTTGGGAAAGAGGAAAACGAAAATGAGGAAGAAAAAAACAAGTGGTTACCAAAAGGGTTTGAAGAGAGGACCAAAGGTAAAGGTATGATCATCAGAGGTTGGGCACCGCAGGTGCTGATCTTGGACCACCCATCAGTTGGTGGATTTTTGACTCACTGTGGTTGGAATTCTGTGATTGAAGGTGTAAGTGCAGGGTTACCATTGATCACATGGCCTCTGTATGCTGAGCATTTTTACAATGAGAAATTGGTGACTCAGGTGTTGGGGGTTGGGGTGGAAGTGGGGAAGAAGGATTGGAACTTGTGGATTGATGCTGGAAAGAATTTGGTGAGGACAGAGAATATAGAGGCCGCCGTGAGGAGGGTGATGGACGGCGGTGATGCGGCGGTGATGATGAGAAAGAAGGCTAAAATGTTGGGAGAGATGGCACAGAAAGCTGTTAAAGAAGGTGGGTCCTCTCATACAAATTTGACCGTTTTGATTGAAGAGCTTGAGCAACTAAGAGATCAAAGGGCTAACGATGTTTAAGGATTACATTTTGTTTCGGTTGATTGTCTGTGTCTTTTGTTCTTCACTGCTTATTATATTTTGTTGAAATAAAAGTATCTGATAGGCTTTTATCCATATATCTATATTTATGTTTCATGTTTTAAATTTAAATAAATTACAAATATACATCATGAAATTTGCTTAAAATATGAGTTATTTCATAAGATTTGCTTAAAATATGAGTTACTTCCTATGATTTAAAAAATTATAAATACTTTCTTGTTAGAATTTTTTATTTAATAGAATTATTTGAAAAAGTTAAATTTCTAACTGTTCATTTATACAATAATAAAATTATCCGAATTATTAATTGAAATAAAATTTTAACATTATTAAAAATTGTTAATTAATTTAAAGATTTATTAATAAAAGGACATATTTATTATGAAATTAGAAATCTTAGGGGACATAATGTAATTTCTAGAACTACAGGAGATCATTTGTAATTTAAGTAAATATCAGAAATGTGTTTGTAATTTACCCTTTAAATTTTTATAAAATATTTCTATATCAATTATATGGATAGTTATCTTCTTTTTTTTCTTTTTTCAAATTCTCTAATTTTGATTTTTTAAAAAAATTTATTTCAATTTTTAGATTTTAAATTCAATCATACAATTTATAATCTTATATTTCGAAATAAAATAATTATATGTGTCCAAATCGTGTGCATCATCGTTTCTAGTATAAAACCTATTATTGGTGTTTATGTCACAGAATTTTGGGTTGCGTTTGGCAGAGTTTTGTAAATATGATTTGAGAGAATGAGTTATATTTTGAGTTTGTGAGTTTTAGAATTATAATTTGAGTGTGGAAAATTTATTTGGTGAAGAGTTTTGAATTGAGTGAAAAAATTTTGATGTGACATATGATATTTGATACAAAAATTTACAACTCATTACCAAACATCCAACTCAAAATTCTATTAAAACACATAAAAAAATTTAAAAATTCGAAAAATATTTTTTTTGAATATATAAAAATTAACATATGTAAATTGTTTTAATAAAAAAAAATCACTGTTCCGGTCAATCGGTGGGACGACCGGTTAGGCGAAATTTGAAAAAAAAAATCCAAAAATCACGCTTGACACAGAGTGTTTTGTGTAGAGTTTTTGAAACGTGTTTTGAGAACCCTAACCAAGCATGATACTTGAATGAATGTGTAGAATCATGATTGCAAAACACAACCAAACACAATCTTGTTTTCTCAAAATTTTCATAAGAATAGTTACAATAACAATTATGTTATTATTCTTTTGTTTTTTTTCCCCTAAAAGAAGAACTTCTCAGTTGTCTCAAATAGATCTTTTCAATTGCACACATAAAGCGCTTTCCTTCTAGTTATCAACTTCAATGACACTTTTTATGCACATATTGTTCTTCAATTTTATGTAATTTTTCTTATCAGAATATTTTTAACTACAAAAATGTGAATAACATCATAAAGACTAGCGTAAAAATGAACGTGTCATTTTTTGTTTACTTTTGAATAGAAATTAACTTTAAGAGTAAGTTTAAAGTAAAATAAAAAACTTGATACATTAAGAATCAAAATAAAATAAAAAATTCAAAGATCAAAGTGAAAAAACAATTAAACATAAGGGGCAAAATGTAATTTACTTTTTTTTAAATCCAATATACACTTTTGCTTCTGTTTAATTTGAATATAAATTAATTTTAAGAATAAATTAAAAAAACTTAAAATATTAAGAATCAAAATAAAATAAAAAATTTAAAGATCAAAGTAAAATAATAACTAAACATAAAAAGGACAATGAAATCGACTTTTCTTTTTGTCTTTTTCTTTTTCTTTTTTATTTTTTTTAATTTTAAATTCAGTATACACTTTTGCTTCTGTGGGATTGGTAACCTGTCACCATCTCCATCTAGATCTTACAAAATTATTATTTATTATTTTTATTTTTAGGCACCGAGAAGCCTATAAATACAAGGATTCATTGAAAGATAAAAGGAATTAGAGAAGTTTTTTTTTTTTTTTTGACTAAGAATTTAAAATAGTTAGTTTACACAGATTTTGCAATCCACATAACTTTATATCAAATTTAACACAATGTATATCATTATCAAAATTTAGAACTGCTTAAGCTTTTTTTTTTTTTTTGACAATCAACCATCACCCTTTTTGTGGGCTTTCTCTCCCCCCAACACTTTGACCCACTTTCTTGAACACCTTGTGGGCTTACTTTTGAAATATCTCTAGATGGAAAATATTTGAGAATATTTTCAAAATATCTCTCTAATTATACTTTTAAAATATCTTTTCTAATTGGTTTTACAATGATATGGTAAGTGTTAATTTTTAATCTATGATATATCAATTATCTTATTACATTATCATAAATGAATATATAAATTTAAATTATGAATTTTTAATAAGAGTGACTCACATTATTGACAATATTAGCCACGTACATTTTATTCCTACTAGTTGACCCCCCACGCGCTTTGCGCATGGGGGTCTCGTTACAGTGTCAATATAAATACTTTAAAAATTGTATTTGGTTTGTGAATTTGAGGGAAAAAAAAAGTGTAAAATATATTCCAGAAAATCACATACCAAATCATTCGGTTTGAGAGTTGATATCACTTATTCTTCTATAAAGCATGAGGACTGATATCCGGAGCCCAAACAATAGAGTCCTCATGCCTAATATCATTTTTCACAAAATGCTCGTGCCTAATATCTGAAATCAAACCAATTAAAAAATAGTGTAATGGTGGAAACTGTTTCATATACCCATCTCAAGAAATAGAAATATTTTACAAATTCATTTCAAAAAATAGAAGTAGAAACCATTTGAAAACTCACTTCAATCATTGAAGAGAAGAGAAGAGATGCTATAGAAATCAAACCGTTTCATAATTGAAATCAAATAATTTCAAAACCATTTGACTCGTTGAGAAACAGATTTCAGGAAATAAAGAGTAGAAATGGAAGTTTTTGTTACCTGTGATGATGAGATCCAATGGTGTGGAAAAATGTTTCCCAACAAAAGAGAGAAGAAGAATTCAGCAATTTTCAAAGAAGTGAGTTACCTTTTGCAGGTGATCATCCTCAAGGTCCATTGTGGCTTCACTTGTAACTCCTTCAACTTCGACGACACCATTTACAATTTCACACATCTGCAACATGTCCACTCATATTATAAGTCAACCAAATAAATAGGTAATTCACATAAATTTGAACTTCTTTTGATTACAAGAAATTATGACGTATTTGGGAAAAGCATGAAGAAAACGAGCAATGCCAAACTACATAATCCACAGGTCGTACCACTTAATGAGTCACATTCTCCATACCTTATGGTATAGTGATCCATAAACCTTCTAGCAATTAGCTTCAAGGGTTGCTCTCTCCTAAAAAAAACTTTGCCTCCAACTCATTATGTTGGCTCTAAAATGGTACAACAAAGCATTACACTTCAACACACCCAAAAAATCTACGTACATACTTTTTGAAACCATATAATTAGCAATTCAACACCATTGACACGTTCCTGAATAGAAACTAAGCTACCTAATCTGTGCATAATATCAGTTCAAAATGGAAATAAAGTACAATCTCAATCCTAAATGTCAACGCTTATTCTCGACAAAGCGTAAACCCTTGCTACTTTTCCTAGTTCCTCCCTTCTAAAAGTTGGTTCTGTCATGCTTAACGACTTTTCAATCCCCATGGAAGTGGTTCTTGAAGTACTTTACTGGAATTTCAATAGAAAAAATGAATAATAAAATGTTTTCAAGATAAAATCTTGACAAGAAAAACAAAAACTCCACTCATTCTATTGTAACATTCTAGTGTACACATCAATACTACTAAACATTTGGAACCCAAACATAATGAAATAGGAACATATTAAAATTTTTAAATTCTAAACTGTTTTCAATATTGCATTCTGAGTTATAGAGATCTGGATATTGTATTATTTCTTACACGGACCTCCATACTTAATATGGCAATAATTTTTTGTATTATTTTTTATATTTTAACACTAATTTATGTTTGGCAAAATCTCCCAAAAAAAAAAAAAAAAAAACCCCTAGAGCTTCACCCTTACAATAGTATATCTATACAATAGCATTTGAATTGAAACAAGAATTCTTGTTGAGTTAAGAATAGTTTCTACAATTTGAGATACAATTTTCTCTATATCTATATATATATATTGAAGGGAAAAAAATTGCAAATTTTCTATTTCTGTTTTCATAGGCATATTAGCAAACATGTGGTGTGCCTAATTTGCACATAAATTAGAGTAAAGAGAAACAAGAACATAGAAACCACATGGTCGCACATCTTGGAAGACAAATAAGCATGGAAGCAGCTATCTACACACCAGTTTGTCCAATCATCTCGAAAGAGCATTAAAATACAAAGCTGAATGGAGTTCCAGTTCGCAAAAACACCAATAGAAAATACAGAACACAGAGGAAAGCAAAACGTAGTAGGGAATTTCACACACCTAGTTGTCTGGTTGTGCACTTGTTGTTCTTGGTTTTTGCACTTCTGAAAGATGTAGAATTCTGCCGCTTGCCGCTACACCCTTTGAAGACAACTCAGCATTTGCCCAACTCAACAGCAACAGATACACCTCCATAGGATTGAGATGTAATAGGCGACAGCAACAGTGGCAATTGCGCACTTCCACAAACTCAAGTTGGGGACTTTTCTGTGAACCTGTGGGTCGGTGAAGGCTGCTATTCAAAGGGGCCCTCATAGTCGGTGTGGATGATTTGAATCCACACCTCGCATGCAAGAGCTTTGGGAAATAGCCAAATAGCATAGCTCTGCATGTGGGGGTCGTGGTATAGTTTCAATATAAATATTTAAAATTATGTTTGGTTTATGAATTTGAAAAGTGAAATGTAGTTATACTTTATATTTAATTTATTTATCTTCTGTTTCTCTCTTTGCAAATTTATTAGCAAATTAATAGCAATATGAACATAGCTATCTGTCATATTAGATGTAAATATATTTTCACATTTGTAGTAAAAAAAATATTTTGGATAACAAAGTCGACAAAATTATAAAGAAGAGCACTATATTTA